CTGCAACCAGTATTTCTCCCTGAGGGTGTAGGGCTTTATATGAAGTATAAGTTTTCAGTTTTTTTGCAGCACAGTGTTAAGGAAAGCCCTGTGTTTATACCTTGAAAGGTTCTCTCTCCAATGCTTTTTATGAGACATGTTTTGCATGTAGGTCAAAACTTCTATTTTGCTTACATTGGACAAGAATACATTTTACAACACATCTGCACCCCCTTGTACAGCTTATTTCAAGCTTCAAATAAGACTGTCAGGCTTTTTTTTTATTACTAACTTTCTTCCTGTCACTCTTTCCTAAAGGTCAGATTTGATGCATGTATTCTTATCCTGTTAACAGCTTCTTCTGCTTTACCGTTGGATCTCCGCAGCTCCTCCAGAGTTCTCAAACGGTCTTTGTGATGCTGAAGACCTGTAGTCTTCAGAGGATGGCAGTAGAACACAAAGATTAAATAACACAGATATATTCTCTGTTTAATAATTAGGTCAGTTCTACAGATAAAAATGATTGCAGTGGATTTTATTTAAGACATTGGGGTAAAGAAAGTGAAGACAAATGCAAATGGATGATACATTTTTTATTTATTTTCAACATAACTTCTATTTCTACAGTTATTTTTATGTTGTGTCTTTCACATAAAATAACACAATGCATGAAGCATTTTTGTTTTTTAATATGACACAATGAAAAAAAGTTAAATGAGCGATGTACATATTTGATGTGTCTTATTTTCCTGTTAAAATTTAATTCAAAAATGTTACACAAATGCAGTTAATGTACCATGAGGAGAGAAGTGTTAAAATATGACCAAAGTATGTTTCTCCTCATCTTCTTTCCTGGGCCCACTTCTTTTTTTTTTTTTTTTATGTATCTGCAATTATTAAAGGAGTGGGATTGGTTTCTATTATTTCTCAGAGGTGATTACCATTCTCAACACTCTTTAGCTAACCAAAACCAGGTATGGAGTCATTCCATTTTTCTCATTTAATTCTTTTTTATTTATCATATGACCTTCCCATCTCCATCCTGAAAGTTTTCAACTGGGCGGCCATGGTGGAATTCTCAATCATCAACATTATGACAGGTATTAGGACTTTTATTTTACCATCATCCTGTAAGCAGGATGGCATTTTGAAAATGTTCTGCAAAGAATAAACATAAACATATGAATGAATCTAGAAACTAATTGAAATGTATCCTTGATCGTACTGTTTCCACTTAAGATGAGTGAGGAGTTAACCACTTCAGCAAACGTAGGACATGAGCCAGTAGAGGTCAGCAAAAATAAGGTTTCCAAGAGCTTTTTCAGTTGCTGTCCGATAATGACTGCTGTCTACTACAACACACTGATTAAAGAGGTTAGCTTCTTCCTATTTTGGCTTTAGCACTTTTCCCTTCAGCAGTTAGTTAGAATATTAAGTTAAGAGATCAGATACCCAAATATCTAATATATATTAGGTTTTATAATTTGATTAACAGGTGAAAATTGTTTCATTTTTCAAGTGTTTGTTGTAATGGACCAAACTTCAGAAGATTATTTATTCTGGAATGGAGATATTTTGGTTTTAATGTGTGTAATTACGGTTTATTTTGTTTTTCAAATATTTCTCTCTTACAGTTTGGCTTGGAGTCTAAGAATTGTTTGTCTTTGGACAACAGATAGAAAAAGGATCAGTCTTTGAATGTACAGATAAAATAATGAACATTAATGAAAGCTCTACCCAATGAGGGTAAAGTGGTTCAGCTACAAATGCAGCACTGAGGTGACACATGCATTATTTTGACATTTTTTTCCAGATACACTTTGAACCTTCAACTCCCTCCCAGTATAATTAGGTTGATTTAAAATGTTCAGACTGTGGAAGCTGTTGCTGCTGACCACACAAGAAAACATCTTGTATCTGTGATTTTAAATAGATTAAGGTTTCACTCTAAACCAGCTTTAGAAGGATTTTCTAAAACAAAACAATTCTGATCCCATCTGGACTCCACCTTGAAACTTGTTGGACTTGAAACGCCTACAATGGCACATTCTTAAACAGAAAACTTTGACAAATGACAAACATCTTTATTCACCCATGGCAGATTTGTCAGGACTAAGGCTACTGAATGGGTTGGTAAACCTTTATAACCCAATTGTTGAATAAAACAGTCAGCTTAAATATGACTCAGGGTTCATGCCTACAGATAGGTTTAGATTTATTGCCATGAGCAGCATGGCCTTTGGCCCTACACCCCTCATCCCAAACAAAAAAACTGTGGGAATATTCACCCTCTTCTACTGTGATTATCCTAAAAAAGTACAGATGGTGGATGATGATGTTTAAGTCATCAACAATGATTTGTTTATAGATCAAAGAGTAATATCAATGCTTATTTTAAAGAGTATGGAGTGCATTGTTTCTTTTTTCAGTTAAAAATCTTTATTGCTGTATTTAGACTGTTCATAAGTAAAAATCTGCGAACATAAACAGTCTCGGCATACTGTAAAAAAACAAACAAACAAACATGCAGACCATTAAAACCTAAAGTTCCATTTAAATTGGTGGGGTTGAAGTTCCGCATTAGTGTTAAAAAAGGGATAATGCTGATTTTTTTATTGTAGCTGAAGTTTATCCAGCCCATCATGAGCAATACTTTGTCTTTTTTTTTCAGTTTGCATTTATTTCTAGAGGTTTCATTTTATTTTTCTCAGGATGGATTTGTACTTGGTAACGTGGGGATAACAGAAGAGGATTGTGAGGTTTGCCTGGGTTTTGAGGTTTTTTTGGTGTGAGTGAGCTTCCTATCACAGAGAGGATCTTTGCTGATGTGTTGCTGCACACCTGAGAACATTTCTCAATCAAAGGGGCAAGTGCGTATTAACTGAGGTGTACTGTAGGCTTATCTCTCTTCACTGGATTATTTACCCTGATGGTATTCCAGCCAAATATCTAACCCAGGAATGTCTTTCTTGTTGAAATCTGTCTTTTTGTGAATCCCTTCTAATCTAGAGAGGTGTGTAATTGTTCCAGGCAACCAGTGGACCTCAGTTCATTTCCTATCTTCATAGAAAAGGTCTTACCTGTATGCAGCAGTTCTCAGTCTTCTCCTGGACCTCTGGGGTACAGCCTGCAAAACCCACTGAAACAAACCTCTACAGATCCATGCTACCTTCCCTGCATCTCTTAACTAAGAAAATCAATCAGTTGTCATTAACCAACTCCCTCCTGATTAGCCGGCTTTCTCCCTTCAGAGCAACCAGAAAGTTCAGCTGACTTCCTGCAGTTCTCTGCTTCCAGATTTTTGTTGCATTTTGTAAATAAAACTCTCAAATCCACTGGTTTTCTGTGTGATTCTGCATATCAGACAAAAAGCTACTAACAAACATGTCAAGGGTTGCTCCACGTACCATTTACAAGAGGACCTCCACTGATCAGGTATCACTAAATGATTCATTGTATTTTCCCTGGTTTTCTTTTAGCTCTTAGTTCTTAGCTCTGGTACACATCTACAAATGGATGTGAAGATCCAATTAACCTGGAGGAGGACCTAAGAACAACAGAAAGCAGTTATAGGTTTAGTGATAATGAGTGTTTGGAGGAATTTAACAGGTTTTTCTTTTCTCTGGTGCAGATATGTGGTAGTTTATATATCATTGAATGCTAACAATTAAAAGAAAAACGCAGGATATCATAGGGAGAATACTTGTAATCCTTGCTGTAAAAAAAAATAAGGTTGGCTATTAAGTAATTTCAGTTTTCCAAATTTTGGAGAAAAGTAGACCCTGCAAACATAAATTCAGTCTATACTAAAATAAAACATAAAAAAAAAAAACCCAGACCTAATTTATCATATGATATTCAAGAAAATATTCTCTTTGAAATAAGGTTTGATGTTTCATGTGTTCCAAAATTGAGAATAAAACCAAAAACCAATGTTGTTTCTTCTGGATCCTCAGCTGATTGATTTGAAATATTTTAAATGGATGAAACAAACTACAAAACTTGAAAGGAGTTTGATGACTTAAAGTAAATTTAGTAACAACCAATTTTACTTTCTTTTAGCATCTTATATGGTGTTTGCATCTGAGGGCAGATATTGCTCCCTTTATTGATAAAGGATACTGACCACTATCAATATTTAAAATCATGGGTGATTCTAGACTGGGGTCAAAAGGGTCAGTGCACAAGTAGAATTAGTCATGGCCCCTTTATATGTTTTGGAACCTTGGACCGATAAAATATTTTATACTAACTGTTTGATTTTACCAATGATATAAATAAAGTTGTTGCGCTTTTAGTTTCAAGGGGATTTATTCAGCTTCAACAGGTTTCCAGGCTGCAAATGGCTCTTTGGTTCCTTGGAGGCAATAAACGATGAATTCGCCCTGTTTTGTTGTACCTTTCTTTTTTTCTGTTCCCCCCATGAAAAAACCCTGGCCCTACCCTTGGGCCCCTGGTAAATTCAGTCTATAACTGCCACTTAACAAAATGCAGAATTTCAAATCTTTTTGAAGGTTCATTTTGAAACCTTCATACTATTAGATTTCTCTTTTCCTGCTTAATGAGTAAAAACTATTTATTATTTAAGAATAACACACTTATTACCATTTGCTATTTATTCTTATATTTATTTTTGCTTTATTTATGCTTAGTACAGGCATTCTGATGTCTGTTGTCCTTGTACTGCTCCTCAAATATTCTGTTCTGTTAACCTTTGAAGATTTTGTAAAGTTAAATGAGAAAACCTAAATTGTGAGATAAAGAGATATCTACAAATGTGACCAAAATAAAAACCTCACCAAAACAAAAACAACCAATGGTTGCATAAGCCAAACAGTTTCTTGCTTCAGATTATTGCAAAAAAAAATAAAAAATAAACAAGAAAAAAATAACTCCCTCATAAGGTAAACTCTCTTTAAAGAATGTGGGGTAACAGCAGAGAGAGAGAGACAGGCATGACAATTATTAAACGCATAATATGCGCCTGGTGTGCACAAATGGGAACCATGTGGGCGCAAGCATGCTGCGTCCTCCTAAACTGTAAATGAGGCTAAACTGAGGGAGGGACAGAGGAACTGCATCTCTGCCTCTGGGGAAATCTGTATGTGTGCGTTTCTGAGAAAGAGAGCTGCGAGGAAAGGATGTGTGTATGAACAGTTATTTAGTTTCCCCCGCTCGCGTCGCTCACTGCTTTCTTTACTGGAGGCAAAAGAAGTGCGCTTTAAACAGCGATAGAGAAACAGCAGGGAGACACCTACATTGGAGCTGAAACTTCGCCTCAGACGCTCCTTTTGCAGGTTGGTTGATCTTAATTATCCATTAATATTCGTATAACAATTCACCCTGTACGCGTTCAGCGCGCGTCTGTGGGACAGAGTCACCAGCGCGAACAGCCTTTTCGGTCTAAGTTAAAGATTTGCACATATTTCTAGGATTTTTGTGCCTTTATATCATGAAGACAATGATGCTGATGTTGCCAAAGCGCACATTACACCCACTGCTCCTATTATGCACAGGGGGCCATATGTTCAGCGGTTCGGTTTATTGATTAACGCAAGGTTTAAATGTCAAGTCACCTGAAGAACAGTCATTTTTGCGCTTCAGCTCCTGTTCAGTGCACCACGAGACCTCCACCAAGCCTTTGGGTTGGGGATTTCGGACCCCAGCAGTAAACAAACGCGAGGTTTTACGCACGCATGCCACCAGAACAGCATTTTCCCGTTAGAGTCTCCTCAGTAAACAAATAAAACCTCAAAGCACATGCCGCCCCCCCTCCAAGGTGGGGTATGCGCAAAGATGCGAACATTTATAGAACTGTGAGCGCAAGATCCAATTCAGTTTAGACTTGCTTTAAAATGCGTTGGCTGTCAAAAAATTATAAAGATGATTGGGGGCTTTCTGTGCCCGGAATGAAAGAAATCAATTCCTCGAAACGTTGACCTTATAAGGAAAATGGGGCGCTTCCTTCCTGTCAGGTCACTTAACAAGAAAGACAAGTAGGTTTGTTTATCTTATATAGATAACAGTTGCGCCCATATCTGTCTCTATTTATTGTAAATACAAACATTGAGTTTAGGATTGTACTGTCCCACTCCACCCAGTTTCACCTGAAAGAATAAGGTAGATGTATTGTTGAATAAGTGAAGACTAAAAAAAGTTGAATATTTGCAATAAATTAAAATTTTGTGACCTGAAATGCATACATTAAAATTCTGTTGTACAAAAATAATTAATTTCTAAGTCATTCATCTGTATGTGCGCAGTATGGATGATGCACAAAGCAGTTTATAGAATGATTTTAAACCGGATTAGAAATAGGGCAGTGTAAAGAGAGATTGGGAGACATGCAGAGCCAGTTTGCAGTGAACAGACCATATGGTCCTGTGACGTAACATCCATGACAACATCGCCTCTGTGCGCGCGCCTGTCCGTGTGTGTGTTGTTTGAGCGCGCGCAGCTCCGCGTTAGATCCAGACTGACCACCAAATACCGCGTAACACCACGCTCACAGCCTCGCGCGATAAAGACATCAAAACAATTTCCTAAAACACTAAAAGATGAACGCCTTGACTACCGCAGCATGTCTGCTGGTCGCCGCCTTCAGCTGCTACCTCTACGGCGGCAGCGACGTGCTGTCATCGCTGCTTCGTGTCTGTGTTGCAGACCAGCCCTCCATGCCAGAGCCGGGAGATGCTCCGCGGCGAAGCCCGCAGGGAGTCCCTTACACCGAGCTGCGGCACATCGTCAACGCCGACGGACTGCACCTGTTCTGCCGCTACTGGGAGCCCGAAAGTCCGCCAAGGTCAGTAAGGAGGAGGGGGGGAGAAAATGACAGCCATGCTGCGATTATTGCCAAAATCAATAGAAACACTCTCCACTTAATCGACCTGCATTCATTCTTCATTCATTTACGATCCTGTCAAGTTACCAGTAATTCAAAGCACGTGCCATTTTTATGTCATGGAGTCACGTGACTTAACAGACGGTTGATCTGAGGATTCAGCTGACTGCAGGGTTCTCTGTTTGGTAATTATACATGCTTTTAACCCACAGTAAATGCACCCTGTTAGTGTTCTCTGCAGGTCTGAGCTATTTGACCTCAAATAAAAATTAAATGTGAATTTTTAATCAGTTCTGAAGAACTGTCTATTTCAATAATTTCTAATAACTTATTTATTAACTCACACCTGTTGACTGGAACTTTGCTGTTAGGACATCTTAGAGGTTTAAACAATAAAAACCAGTCAGTAATAGACGTCAGTGTAGACGAAAATAAGGACTAATCTGTGGGAAAACTGGAACATTTACCCATTGTCTTCACATTTTAATTGTGTTAATCCCTTCTTGGTGATAACAGACCATATGCTTACTTATTTTGGGTTGTGACCCTGTTCTTAAAAGGCTGGGTCTGGATATTTGGCTCACTTTCTAAGTCAAAATGCAAATTTATGTTGTTATGCACATGGTCTTTAGAAAGCCAGATAAATTACCGCTGAATTATTTTAATTGTACAGTTCATGGTTTTAAAAAAACGCAGCTTATTAATAAAGTTTGGTGAGACAAACAGGACTGTAATAGCAATATAATGCTGGGGAGCATTAAAGGGGAACACCATATTGTTTTACATTGGCCCCTTGATTTTATGTTATTACACCATGTTCTAGTCACCCATATGAGTTTTGTGTCATTTGGAGGCGTTCTGAAGATATTCGGTTTTGTAATCCAAGTAACGTCTACCTATGGGCAACAACTTGCAGACACAAACTAAACTGTTCATTATTTATTCTTTATGGTACGCCAGCATTCATAACATGTAGTCGAATCACTATCCCCCAGACATCCGCGGTTATATTTTTTATATTTATATTTTTTAAAAGCAAAGCGGCGTGTGTATGACGTCATCCGTGCACGCTGGCTACTGTTCATTCTTCCTGTCCGCTGAACTGCTGCTAGTTTTACTGGAAGATGTCTAGTGCTAGTACCACAGATGATCTCTGTCTTGAAATGGAATTGAACGATTCAGATTAGCTAGAGGAATGAATAGAAGGGGTAGAGCGTAGCCGCCTCTGGCCCGGGCTGCCTGTCACAACTCCAGTCCGACGCGCAGATGACGTCATACACGTACCGTTTTGTTTTAAAAAATATATAAATATAAAAAAAATTTAACCGCGGATGTCTCAGGGACAGTGATTCGCCTACATGTTATGAATGTTGGCGTACCATAAAGAATAAATTATGAACAGTTTAGTTTGTGCCTTCAAGTCATCTGCCCATAGGAAGACGTTACTTGGATTACAAAACAGAATATCTTCAGAAGGACTCCAAATGACACAAAACTGATATGGGTGAGTAGAACATGATGTAATAACATAAAATCAAGGGCCCAATGTAAAGAAAAAACGGTGTTCCCCTTTAAAACTCAAATAACAGAGCTGCACTGTTCAGAGATTTGTTGCTTTTTGTAAAGTCTGACAAAACTGATATCCACTCTATAATTAATCCATAAGAACTAATCCATAATATTTTAAAACCAAATTCTCCGCAGACTTTCTAGAAAAAAATAAATGTTTTGCCCTTTCAAGATAATTACAGTGTAAACAGTTAAAATGGTCAATTATGTTAGCAGCAGCCTCCGTCTATGTATTGAAACAATTCTAGATCCTTTTATTCGAAAATATATTTTAAAAAGCGGAAATCGTCTTATGCATGCTCAATAACAGAGATTTTAATCTCAAAGGGTTGAACAAAGGCACTTTTGTTGTAAAATTTGCTGCCTTCCTGTTGTCTGCTGAAGGGTAAACTCTCTCTTGTTCTCTTGCAGCTTTAATTAACAGCAGACAGTTCTTTTTAAATCTTTTTCTGCTTCTACTCACTTCATTCTCAAACACCTCATTGATCCTAAACATAGCTAACACTGTTCTTTTTTCCTTAGTAACATAGTTCTTGTTACCCTTTTTTTCTATGTTTTATTTATTTATTTATTTATTCTGTACAGCACTTTGCTCAGCTGTGGTTGTTTTTTAAGTGCTTAACAAATACAATTGGATTGGATTGGATTGGATTACCTCTACCTGGTTCCTCTTTTTACGGTCAATGATTTCTGAGTTTCCTACAGAACTGTTTGGGGACAATCGAGCTGAAAATTGACCTGTTTCCTTCATTGGTTGATTTCTCTATGCATCAAAAACTAGTCAAGTATATTAGAATAGGCACCAGTTGGAAGACAAGAACTCTGTTGGATAAATAACACCATTGTGTCTTTGCCAAACTGACGTCTAGTCACGAAGAAATTAAAACAGCACTTCTGACTAGTTCACTGCAGCTCTGATATGTCCCCCAGCCTGCTGCTATAGGCCTCTCTTCAGGCATGCGGTCTCAGGTTTTAAAGTCCTCTGCAGCATTCACAAATGTGTCTACAGCAGCGTGAGAAATGCAGGACAGAAAACGTTTCCACACAAACTGGAGAGCTACTGGGATTGGGATGTTACAGATCACACTCTGCTAACACATTTCATTAAGGAGACGGTTTGTTTTCTGTCGGCTGTAGAGGAGAATTATTGTTTACAGCCACATCTGTAAATATGTGTGTGTGTGTTTACAGTGCAGTCATTCTTGATTAACTCCATGTTTGCACACAGAGCTGCTTGTATACCTTTGCGTTTATGTCTGTAGACTTGAGCTGCAAACACAGAGGTGTTGTTTTTGTGTAACTATGGCCGATGAGACAAACATTGGACTTTATAATTACCCACAATGCCACTGTGGACTAAAACAAGGCAGTCAAGCTAAATCCATCTTTAGTTTATTACCTTCCACTGGTTCATCAGCACAGATCAGAGTTTCCCTTACAGCTACAGTTAGAGGTTGGATTAGTGCAGGATCAAAAATATCCCCGTGATCTGGCTGTTTTTAAAGCTGCAGCTTGATATGTTTTCTGTAGGCGCGCTCTCACTTGGAGGTCAACCAGTAAACCTGCCAAATCTGCCAGCAGGCACAATAAAGAGAAACTGAGGAGCCCCTATGAGGTTTATGATTTTACTTATATTTAACATCAGGCATGTTACAATGGAACGGATAACACTAATTTTGGATAAGAATTGTTTATTTTTAAGTAAATAGATGGGCTTCTAGCATGAGAAAGCAACAGAAACTTCAGTTAAACTTTAATAGGATGGTTAAATTCCTCACTCAGGCTCATTTTATTGGGTTTGTGGCTTATGTAATTACAGTTAGATACTTTATGTTTTGTTAGCTTCAAAACTTCAGCCGCTCTACACTGATGGAAGATTGACAACTGCAATTTCAAAAGTTTTTCTTCCCTTATGGTAAATTGTTAATGTTTGGTGGTGGAGTGGTTGTCTTTAAATTGCTAAGTTGTGGTTGAATCCCCAACCTAATGGTATGCTGTGTTCTTTCTCTTTAATCAGAAAGAACTGAAGGTTTCCTGTTACATACATGATAGATCCACATACTTAGATGATGATTTACATCAGATCCTTATCTGTAAACAGCCATTAAATTGTTTATATAAGAAGTCAGGCAACAGTTGCAGTTTAAGCAGAAAGATCTTTAAATAATGTAAAACACTAGGATTTAATATACCCCTGCATTAGTTTATAAAGCAGATTTTTTTGCAACAAGTAAGAAATACTTATTTTTCTTGATATACACAGAACTCAAAGAATATCACAAAGTAATTCCTTCAAGCTATTTCTTGTTTTTCCTCAAAAAGGTGGTTGATTAGCAATTTGCAAAAGTGAGTCAAACACCATGGAGTTGATTACATGTTAAAAATAAGCAGCTTATTTTTCATCAGCAGGGTAGATATTTAAAGGTAAGTGGTCCTACTTATTGTCAATTATTCTGGTGATATGTTTACTTAAGGCCGTCCTACGGGCTCGTCACTATTTTCACTCACCGGTGGTGAGTCTGACATCGTGGAAAAACTGAAAATCTTTTGGAAAGTAGGCCTGTATGAGCGATGAAAACAGCAACTTTTAAACAGAGCATGCACGAGGCTTGTGCATGCTCTTGCATTTAATAGGTGCGTTTAATAGGTGGTCCACAGGAGTGGGTACAGGGTTGTGCATGTGCATTTTTTCTTTAAAGTGGAGAGGATAGGTCTTTTCAAGAATTCACAAAAATCCTCCACTATACCTTTAAGCCACCTACTTTTCTTTGACATCAGGTTATTTTTTATTCCCACTACTACAGTTTATTATGATGCTGTTTACATTTTGACCAAGTATGATACAGAGAGATAATTATCCATCAACTCCAGACAGTGAAAAGGAGAAATAAATCATACATGGAAACAATTGCAGCGATTAAAAGGGAAAAGCCCAAGCAGAGCATTCAGTATGACCTTTCTTTGATCCTACTCACGGATTCGATGCGCAAATGCAGGAGCAAAAACAGTGACTGTAAAATGATAAAACACCTGCACCCACCAGGCTTATTGTTTAAAAATAATTTTTCTCCCACTCAAAAAAACATATCTAAAGTTCACTTTGAGATCGGTGTAGTTCTGTGTAATTTGAGGGTATTTAAAGTTTGCTAGTGTACCTTTAAACATAGAAAAGCTTCATCTTTTATTTCTGGAGCTGCTGAAAAGATTAACCATATCTGTTGTTATGTTTGTATAACCACATCTTTTGATTTTTTCGATTTTAATATATAGAATAAATAGTTTTAAAGTGCTTCATGGGCAGAAATATATTTTCACTACTCTTTTCTCAATGAAGTGATAAAGGTGTGAAGAGCAAATAGCCTATTTATTAGTCAGGTTTTGAGTCTTTGTCC